AAAAATGCAAGCAACTATGTAAAAAAATTAATTTTACAACTTATTTAAACTTACAGTGTCATACCACTTGTCACATGTTTAAAATGGCTAATTCTAAAATAATAGTGAATATAGAATATAGTAGAATAATAGTTTAAAAATTGTGATATAAACTTAGTCTTAACTAAACTAAATAAATATGCATGCTAAAAGAAATGCAAGTTAAAATACAATTTTTTTAAATTTACTAATTCAAACTTACAGTGGGATATCACAATCCACATGTCTAAAACAGCAAATTCTAAAATAATATAAACACGCCAGATATAAACTTTTTATTATTATTATTAATAGTTGAAACTCAACTAAATAAATATGCACGCCAATAGAAATGCAAGTTACAATATAAATTTTACAACCAATTTAAACTTACAGTATGACAGCTTATACCAAGTGTCTAAAATAGCAAATTCTGAAATAATATAAACAAGTCATACACAAACTTAGTTGTAATCTAATTATATAAACATGAACGTCAAAGAAAATGCAAGTTAAAATATAATTTTTTTAAAACTTACTAATTCAAACTTACAGTGGGATACCACATGCCACGTGTCTAAAACAGTAAATTCTAAAATAATACAAACACATGAAATATAAACTTAGATTAAACTCAACTAAATAAATATGCAAGTTACAGTATAAAAACTACAACCAATTTAAACCTACAATGTGACACTAAATGCCGTGCCTCTAAAGCAGCAAATTCTAAGATAGTATAAATAACTCATTTATAATCTTAATTGTAACTCAATTAAATAATTATTTGAGGTCATTTAAGTTTTGTTTTGTTTTATAAAATTGAATCTACTTCTATAATAATAACAAAAATAATACAATGAAAGGATGCTTTGACAAAATATTCAAAATAGCAAAACGTTCATGAAATATTTTTTGGGGTTGTGAATGATCAATAACCTTACCTAACGCCAAACATTCAATGGAATCTGATAGTTTTTTTTTCCTTAAATTCACCTTTAGGTTTAAATTAAACATATTTTTGAATTAAACATTTAACAATGGTAGAAAAAAAAATAGTAAGAATAAAATGTAAAAATTTTAAATTTTTTATATTTAATGAATTAAATAAAACTGTTTATTTAATTGATTTATGAAATATGAAATTAAAAAATACATATTAATAAATTAAACTATGCATGCATGTTTTCTAAATTACTTGAGACTTTGTATTTAGTTTAATTGTTTTAAACAATACAATCAAATGCATTATGTTATTAATAAATGAATATTGATATTAGTGGTTTTAACTCACAACACAACATAAATGGAAAGGAACTATCAACAGATATTTGGGAGATTTTTCCTGAAAACATCATTTTAGATAAAAAAATTGGCGAAGGGGCTTTTGGAACTGTCTTTGTTGCAAAAGTTAATACTGAGATTCTGGCTCAAAATAAAAATCATAGGTCTCTGCTTCACTTGGTATCAAGGAAAGATTTTACTAATGTTGCAGTAAAATTTTTAAAAGGTTTGTTTCATTTTTTTTTTTTTTCATTTCCCAATCTTTGTTTTATAATGTTAAAATAAAAATAAATATTTTAATAATAGTAATATTAAAGATATATAAATATTAAAATATTTAAATGTTTATAATTATAGCTTTTTTTTAAGTTTACAATCTAGTTTTAGATAATTGAAAATGCATTATAGGTTTTATTAAACATAAATATAAAGTAAAAAAATAATTATAAATAACTAAATAAACGTATATTACTTATAAAGATGAAAAAAAAAAATAATAACATATAAATTGTGATATACATTGAGAAAAGTTATTTGAGGCTATTTTTTTAAGTTATAAATAGAAATATATGTAATAAACTTTTTTTTTTTTCTTTCTTGATTTTTTACTTTCTCTTCATGAATATCTGTTGGGTTATTGTAAAAAGTAATGTTATCTTTAAATAATAAGAAATGAATATTAGGAAATGCTTAACTAGAAAAACAAATTTTTATTTTACTGGGTTATATCTGCCAGTATTTTTAAAGCCTTAATAATTTTTATTCTGGTAGTTGATTTTTAGTTTTAGTTTTTGGGTTTTTTTTTTGAATTTTTATTTGCAAATAACTTTTAAAAACAGATTAAACTACATAACAGGGACAAATGTTGCTTTAAAAGGTCAAAATAAACAGTGTTTCTTGACTTAATTCGACTGATTTATCTTAATAAATCAGTCGAATTAAATCAAGGGTTCAAGAAATGCTTTTATTTAACCCACATTTTGTTAAATAATTTGTTACCTAATAAAACTACTGATTTTCAGTGTGCTCCAATATATTCCTGCACTTTTTTTACTGTGATGGTTATATATCTATATATATATATATATATATATATATATATATATATATATATATATATATATATATATTATATATATATATATATATATATATATCCATTTGAAATTTAATGCCAGTGCACGAAAAAGCATTGGCAGGATGGTCATTTTTAAGTTAGCCTGCGTGATTTAAAATATTCTTTTTTTTCTGTTATTTAAACTAAAATAAAAGTATAGAAAAGTATGCTTTGAATAAATACCAGATAAAGTAATTAAATAAAAAAACTGGTAAAAAAAAGCCATTTTCATAAAAACAAACAAACAAATGAATAAAAAAATTTTGTTGCGATTTAAAACAAAACAATTTTATTTTTTTGGCAAGTGTTTTTTTATGTGCTCGCTAAAGTTTTTGTGGGCATGTGGGCAAACGCAAAAAAGACTTGAGCACAAAAGCCCTGGTTAAATGGAGAAGACTGAGATATATATACATTGCCAACCTAGAACCAAGAGGTTTTATATCCAGTTTTAACTTTTTTTCTGTTTATAACACAAAAAGTTATCTATGATGAAATCTATGTTTTGAGTAAATCTAGTCACAAAAATCATAAAACTTAGGGTTATATTAAAAGAACGAGAAGGGCATATGTCCAAAAAAGTAATGACTGTAATTATCAACTGGTCGTATGTCCTTTAACCAATCAGATTAGCCAAGACTTTGTTTACACTGCTAAACAACCTCTAAAACTCTATTTGTTATCAATAAAATGGCCATGAAACTGCTGATGAAGTCTCTCAAAAGTATGAATATAAATATAGAGTTCTTTAAATTATAAAATCATGAATTTCTTAGACTAATCAATACTTTCTTCTTAGTTCTATATATTTTTCTTTCTCTTTCTTAACATCTTTGCTTCCAAAAAGGCTGCAATCAACCAACATTAGAGTTGGAAGTTACTGGAAGTAAAAAGATAAAAATTGTAGAGCAAGATAACGATTGACAGATGACTTAAAAGATTGCAAATTATATGAATCAGGAAAGCAAGATAAAGGAAGCGAATTCCAAAAAACCAAAAGTTTGAAGAAAAAAGCGTAATAAGAAAGTTTTTGGAGTTTTTGAAAAAAGTTTTTTTTTTTTTGAAAATTGAAATTTGAAATTTTAATGATTTAAAAATAAAATAATAAAAAAAAAAAAACGTTGGCTACGTCAGCGCGGCGCCCCGGCCAAGCCGGCGCCTTATGCGATCGCATAACTCGCATGGCCCTTGCACCGGTCCTGTGTAATATATATATATGTTATTATAATAAATTTTAAAATAAAAAAGGAATAAAAGTTTTTGGAGCACTTAGGAACAGTTATAGAAAAAGGAGATTTTTTATTATTTTCATTCTAATATGTAGATTTTTTATTATTTTCATTCTAATATATATATATATATATATATATATATATATATATATATATATATATATATATATATATATATATATATATATACACACATATATATATATATATATACACACACATATATATATATATATATATATATATAAATAGATTCGGCTGACAAATCTGAACTGAATGATTTCTGTGAAGAAATCAATTTGATGAAAGAGATTGGATTTCATAAGAATATTGTAAATATGATTGGTTGTTCAACAATGAAAAAACCTTTATGTTTAATTGTCGAATTTATGGAGAATGGGGATTTATTGCATTTTTTGAGAAAAAGACGAGCCAAAGTAAAATAATTTTTAATATTTTTTATATTATTTTTTTATTTTTTTATTTATTTATATTTTGAATTTATTTAATTTTGAATTTAATTTGTTTAAATTAATTTTTATTGTAAATTAACTATTAATGCATTATTTGAAATAATCTATAATCTAGGTCTTAGACTAATATTTTAGGCTAAGTTCAACTGAAAATAATAAATTTTTGATTATTTAAATACCTTTTAAAATTATTCAATATATATATATATATATATATATATATATATATATATATATATATATATATATATCTTATATGGCTGAGTTAGGTGAGGATGATGATGACGTCATACTGAAATAGCCTGCCACCGGGGGCTTCAGTACATACATCTACTATATATATATATATACATATATACTATAGCATATTTATTATTATTTATTATTTATAGCTACTATTGCGGTATATTTATATGCGCAATTGCTCACTTTTTTTGCTCATCTAAATCAAAATAGATTTTTGAGAAAAAGAAGAAGAAAGTGAAGAATATTAAATGAAAAGGTTGCTGACCCATCCCAAAACTTTAGGCTATGTAGCAGCACTCCACTGCGAGTCAGGCTATTTGTCAGTCAATGTATGTACTGAAGCCCCCGGCAACAGGTTATTTCAGTATGATGTCATCATGCTCACCTAACTCAGCAGTATAAGATATATACATATATATATATATATATACATATATATATATATATATATATACACACATATGCGGTAGTGGTGTTGTGGTAGATGTAGAATTTAGGCATCTATGTTATCTCGTACTTTTCAAATCTTACAATTCTTTTGCTACTCTTTCAAATCCTTTTTTTTTTTGGAAGTGCTTTATAAAAGATACCAAACCTGGATCAAATATGTCAGGAGAGTTGTACTAAGACAATATTGTCAGCAAATTTGTTTCCCTCCAAAAACTCGTTTTTTCATTGGTAACATTGTAACTTCTTCCTGAACAAATAAAAAAAGCAGTTTCAAAATCAACATTTTGTTTGCTGTTATTTGTGAATTACTTCCTCTTGTGCATTATTAGATAATATTTTATTACATCTGCTATGCTCATTTAATCAAACATTACATCTGCTATGCCACTATATTTCATTTGCTATGCCACTACATTACATCTGATATGCTCATGTTATCCATTTAGCAGTATGTGATGCAAAAATAATGAAAATGTTGCAAAAGTATGTAAAATCAGATTTCGAACATAATATTAAACTTATATAGGACAGCAAGACAAGTTGAAACCCATTATTTTGAACAATATATATTTTTTTTGAATGCTATATTTTTTTGATATACAGCATTCTTTGATATACAGCTATTGTGAAATATTTCTTTGATATACAGGTGAAAAAAGGTGTAGTCTAAAGTTATTTTTAGTTTCAAAAAATAACTTTCACGAACATAAAAGAATAATAAAGGAACACTGTACAATATTTTTTAGTATGATGATGATGATGAACTTTAGAACATCTTTAGAACAGAACAAACTTCTTCACGGCATCGAGGCAACAAGAGACTTGCAATATTTAGGAGTTATTTTATGACAATACGCTCTCATTATGGCTAAATTAGATTTTGTTCAGAAATATATGCTTTTAATTTTTAACAGTTTTTGATGGGGTTAAAGTAAATTTCTGGACCACGGGACAAGATCATTAGTTGCATTTTCTTGGACAATGCTTAATGGCAAGTTGCCCTGGCATGCAGGAAAATACCAAATTTTCTAATTTGGAATCAATTAAACAGATTGTTCTTCAAAACTTCCAAGCGATTCCCGGAATTGACAGTCTCACCTTGTTGTAAAAATGCAACCATCGACAGTGATTGCACCCCAAATCATTTTTGCTTAACAGCAAGTGTTATATATTGGTAAATTTAGCATGAGTTTGGTAGTGGTAAAACATTGACATAGTGTGTTGCAAACTGCCTAACTTGCGTTTTGTCAGTGAACATGACATGTTGCCACATTTTAACAGCCCAGTCTATTTGTTCTTTTCAAAATTTGAGGCAATCACAAATGTTTTTTTTGAATAAAGCGTGGCTTCAATGCAGCAATTTACAATTTAAGATTAAAGTTCTTCGTAATACTACTCTGAACTGTGTGTCATCTAGTATATCTATATATTGATAAAGGACTTTGCTAGAAAATATCTGCCTGAGCTACATCTCATTGGAGCAGTAGATAAAAAAAGCAGAATTTTTGTAACTGATTGGAATGGTTTTGAGTTGTAGTTAAAAAAACACTTTATAATTAAACGAGGGTATCATGGAGTTGGATGGAATGGCAATAATTTAAATAAAATTTTAAAATTGAAATCTACTTTCTGTGGTCCAAAGCTTAAAAACTTTTAAAGTTTAATTGTATATCTTATGAAGGCTTTTGTCTTTATATATTACATATTTCTTATTTATTGTACATCTTATGAAGGCTTTATATTATAACCAAGATGTACATTGTTTTTTTGTTGTTTTTTTTAAACAATATTTTTTTATTGGTAAGCATTATTTGTGTATAACAAATTCTGTACAAGAAATTATTTCTTGTACACTAAACAAAAAACGTATTTTGGACACGTGTCTATAAAGGTTTTAATTTTAAAATATGGGTTTATAGCTTTCTAGTAATGGTTTTTAATGGATAGAATTTATCAAATGAATTTATATTAAATGGATTTTTCAGCTTTGTTCAAAAGTTGATGGAGCGTCATCTGCAAGTTTTTTGTATTCATATAGTTATCAAGCGACTCTCTGAGCAGCCGTAGCGCAGTTATTCGCGCGCTTGCTTCAGAAGCTAGAGATTTGTGGTTCAACGCCACATTTGGGCAAGTTTTATAAGATCAGTAAGGAAGGAGGCGTGAACTTCCTTTCAAATGTCTTTCCGCGGTGCTCTAATATGACCGTAATGACTTTTTGGGGCACATAAAATAATTATTACTAAAAAAATCTTATATAATGTTTGATTGATTTAATTTATTTATTTTTGAAGCTTCTTATAAAATATACATTAATAGTTAATTAATAATAATATATTATTATCAACATAATAACAAGTATTTAAAATTATTTTAAAGGTTTTTACAATTGGCTGTTTTCTTTTTAAATATTTAACCTTTTTATAGACAATGGCAAGCCAAAATCTTTCTTCCGAGGTTGTTCTTAATGAAGTTCTTCTTGATGAAAATGAGATAATAATGCCAGATGATTTACTTAGTTTTGCATGGCAAGTGGCATCAGGAATGGTTTGTTTAATTTAATATTATTTATTTGTCATTTTTATATTTTTTTAGTTTTTTATATATATTTTTATATTTTTTGATTTTTTACTTTAGGAATTTCTTTCATGCACAAAACTGGTACATCGAGATCTTGCTGCTAGAAACATATTAGTAGGCGCTGAGAAAAATGTTAAAATATCTGATTTTGGTCTGTCACGTAAAGTCAACGATGAATTAAATTACATAAGCCGCAAAAATCGTCGTTTACCGGTCAAGTGGATGTCAGTTGAAGCTATATTTGACCAAATGTTTACATCGTACAGTGATGTGTAATTTTTTAACTTTATTTTGGGGGGTTTTTTTAGTTGATTTTTCAATGTATATATACTTTTTTAAATTCTTTAAAATAGACTAGAGCTTTTCCACTTATATTTTTCTTTTCTTAAAAAATTTTTAAATAGATTTTCTTCAAGAACAATTCTTCTTTCAGCACTTCGTGATGTTATTTACAATAATCTGCTCTTTGCCTTAGTTTAAAAGAAATAAGATCTTCCATCTTTTTTGCAATTAGCGATTAGTTACTAATTAGCCCCATATTACTTATTATGTTCTACGAATTGGATTTTAGAACAAAGTAGATATTTTAATTTTTATATAGTTTTAAAGGACTAGATTTACAACATTTTACTTGAATGTTTCACAATTAGATAAAATTTCTTAGGTAAAATTTACCGTCAAAATTGTAATATTACCGGTAAATTTTGATATGGTTGTGATTACGACGGTAAATTAATTGTGTACAGTTACTTAAAGTTTTCATAATTTACTTGTTTTAAAATTAAATTTACCCGTAAATTTACACCACTCACTACAATTTTTTTTTTAATCACAAATTTCATTTTTACAAATTTATAATAATTGTGTTCATTAATATTGTGTTTTGAAATAATTTTAGATGGGCTTACGGCGTTGTTTTATTTGAAATAGTTACGCTAGGTAAGTCAAAGTTATTATTCTAACAAAATGGTTACGCTTTAAGTAATTTTGGGATAATAACTATTGCGTAAGAATTTTATTGAATTAAATTGAATTAGCATTCGTTTTATTGATATATTTTACTTTATTTTATAAGGAGGAACACCTTATCCAACAATAAGTAATCGTGAACTCCTCACTCTTTTAAAATCGGGTTATAGAATGGATCGTCCAGATAATTGTTCCGAATTCATGTAATTATTATTATTATTATTTATTTTTTTGTCAGTTTATTTTTGTGAATATTAATTTTTAAGTTCCTAGAATACATTTTTAGCTACGATATCATGTTGCATTGTTGGAATGAAGATCCGTTAATGCGGCCTACTTTTACAGAGTTACGTGAACATCTCGATAGTATAATATCTCAAGGCGGTTGTTATTTCAATTTTGAAATTGATGAAAAAAATGCTTATTATAACATTGCCTCGTTTAACAGTCTGCCGTTTGAAACAGTTGAATTTCCGCTAAGCGAAGTGACTGTTAACAACGAACCAGTTTTGTGAACAATTTCTCTCTCGAATGATAGACGCGCATATTCGCAATCTGTAAATAAATTTTGTATTTATTGCTGCAACCCATAATTATAATATTACATACGATATGTAATAATAAAATATATGAGCAATAACTGTGAAAAGAAATGTTATTGAATAATGTAAATCTTGTTGTTTCGATTCATGTTTTTAATCTCGTTGTTTCGATGTTTTTAATGTAGTAGTTAGGATCATTAGATGATTATAAATTTTATTTTTGTTATAATTGTTATAAATAGAATGAAATATTGTATTTAACGTTTTTTGGATTTATTAACTTTTTATATGTAAAAGTATATTTAATATGAGTAATATTTTAAAAATTCTTTAAATTTATATTTGTAACTTTTACATTGACAATGGCTCAGCGCCTTATGCACTTAAAAATATTTTTAAAACAATGCTATTTTCTTCTTTATTATCTTCATACCGGTCATTACTTTTTTGAGTACTTAATCATTGATAACATTGCTTTTTTGTTTTCATTTTATGTTCTTTTCCCATTCTTTGTTGTTTTAAACCTGATTTTATACTTCCATTGCGTAATATCCATTCATTTACATGTTCCATAATTACTTTTTTTTGATTCCAGAAGTTTATATTTCTTTGATAACTCAACCATTATCTCGAGAGCTTTGTTTTGAGTCTTTGTTAATTGATTAGGAGTTGTCCATACAGTATGTTACGCTATTTTTTTCAATTTTCAACCCCCTTCTCCTCCTGTCACAAACTGTCACATGATTCTGCACCCCCCTAAAAAGTATGTCACATATTTCTCTCCTCCCCCCCCCTTCCTTCTAAAACAAAAAGCAAAAAAAACATGGAATTTTCAACATTCTAACAACATAGTAATAGCTATTTAACAGAATAAAAAAAGAATCAATTGAACTAATTTGGAATACCTTCTGAATTTATTGGGAAAGATTGTCATCATAAAATCAAATAAAAATAATTCTTTTATTTGAACCTCGTGTTTTTTACGGAACTGGAACACATTTGCACTTATTTAGAGAAATTAAAAATATTGCATTTATGCCATAATATAAATTACTACTAACTTAGTTATATTGACCGCTAACCTGTTACTATCCTATTTACACTTTTATTTGATAATAATCTGTGTTTCCTATTGGCTATTTAAAGCATGACCAAGTCTATTTAACTTAGTTATCATTTATTATATATTTATTTGGTTATATATTCTTGCTTTAATGTAAGTGTAACTAAAACTCTATTGTTTATATAATGTCATAAAAATATGTTCATCATATGTTTTATTTACTTATTTAAACCCTCCATTTAAAATTCCAAACTTAAATTATACGTTCTTAACTTAATGATTTTGTATCGCTGTACTTTAATGTTTTCAGAAACGTGAAGGCAGTTTTTGCAAACTTTTAAAACTATTTAAAATACGGCGATACGCATAAAGGCGAGTTTCCACTCATCCGTTTTTTCACAGGAACGGGATAAATAATCACGTGAGCATGCGTAGTTTTTCTTCAGACATATTAAAAGTTATTCTACGCTTGCCAAAGTGATTATTTTTCCCGTCCCTTTCCCGTTCCCGTGAAAAAACGGATGAGTGGAAACTCACCTTAACGTATATAATATAAAAACAATAGGCTTTGAAACGCTGCAAAGCCTATTGTTTTTTAAATGCAGTGCATTTAAGTATATTGAAAACCGCATGTACAATCTTAACAAACCAACGTTAATAGTTTTTTAAGCAAAAAAAGTTTGGATTCGGCATTTTTTGATACACAAAGTTTATGTTTACTAAAAGATATTGAAGAAGACAAGAAAACATGTTGAAAAACAAGGAATACAGAATATGATCTATGTTGGTCCGTTCGAGAGCGTAGGCAAAACTGGATTTTTGACGCCTTTTGCTTATCTATTTTTTGCGTCCTCGGCAAATTTCAGCTTTGCGACTTTTTCAGTTTTTAGAAAATAAAAATTTTATTTTTCTTATTTATGATAATAATTAAGTAGAAAGTCGTCGACAATCATACAACGTGAAAATAAAAAATAAAAAAAAAAGAAAAGAAAAAAGAACCAAAATTTTTTACTGTTTTTCATTTGGTTAAAAGTAATTTTTAAAACAATAGAAAAAATTATTAGAGGGTTAGCGTCGTTTATGGCAGCTGCCCTAAAAAAGCCAAGCCTTGGTTTTTTAGGACAAACCACTGTTCAAGAGCAAAGGTAATTCTACGAATAAAATGAGGGGAGGGGTGAATCCTTTAAAACCGACTACCGACTGGCCGCTAAAAACAAAACAAAAAAGGTCCTCAAAACGAAAATTTACCCGACTGAATTGTGTCAAATACCCGAAGCCGATTAAATTCGTAAAAAAATTGAGTCATTTACATAACTTAAATTAAAATGGATTTCAATATGGAAATTATAGAACAAATGGTTCATTTACTATTAGAAAAACAAAGAAAAACAATTATAGAAAAAACTAAAAACTTACTAAAGGAGCAAGAAAAAATATTTACGGCAATTACGACTGCTAATATTAAAATTATTACCGGAAGATTTGAAAAACTTGAATCAAACATTTTAATCAACTCGACAAAAATTGCTACCATAACAAATGCTTTAAAAACGTTTAATCAAAAAGTATTGCTTCTAGAAACTGAATTAAATAAAATTAGGAAATTTATTCGTGTCAATGATGTCAAATTTATTCGTGTCAAATAGTGTCATCAAAGTTTGAAATAGTTAAAGAGAAAACAAATAAAGTTAAAGAAAACAAAGAAACAAATAAAGTTAGCAATCAAGCTAAAGAGGAGCAATGTGAACAAAATAAACAACAAGTTAAGGGAGATAGAAGACAAAATAAACAACAAGTTAAGGGAGATAGAAGACAGATCGAGAAGAAATATTCTAAGAATAAACGGAATAAAATAAAAATGAGCACGAAACATGGGACGATAGCGAGTTAAAAGTGCTCAAATTATTCGAAGAAACACTTGAGATCAAAGATGTTAAGATTGAAAGGGCACACAGAACCGGACCAAGAGGAGAAAACAAAAATAAAACAATAATAATTAAACTCTTAAACTATAAAGATAAAACTAATATTATGAAAAGATCTGTGAAACTAAAACGAATGAACATTTATATAAATGAGGATTTTTGTTTTGAAACTGTCCAAATAAGAAAAGATTTGTAAGTTGAAATGGTTAAACAACGTGAACTTGGAAAATATGCGTTTATCTCTTATGACAAACTTATCGTACGTGAATTTTGCCGAAAAGAAAATTGACGCAAAAGATTGCCAAGTATAAATTTTTAATTTTATGTCTAATTTTAGGCGAGATTTTTTTATTTTATGAAATTGTTATACTTTTTTGATTGAATGTTGATTTGGCATTCATTCTTATGTTTTATCCTAAACGAAATTCTTTTAGCGCTATATTTTAAAACGCAAAAATGAACTCAATACTTCTAAACAACTTTGAGTTTAATTCTTTTAATTTTTTTCTAACAAATGAATTTTTTACAAACAAAGAAACTGATTTAATTTATCTAAGCGAAGCAGGTGCTTTGTTAAGCAATTGCTCGTACTTTTATAACAACGAACCAAAAGTGTGGAGTCGTAAAAAAAAAGTAACGACTCCAATACCGACTCAAGTTTTTGAAATTTTTTGAGTACAACTCTGACTCCGACTCCAACTCCAACTCCGACTCCAAAGCAAAATTTTTGAAAAATTCTTTGAATTCTTTAAAAAATATTACGCTATAAAATAAAAAAAATATTTCTTGACAAATTTTTGAAACATTCTTTGAGGTTTAGTATGAACATAAGGTTAACTGAATGTTTTGTATATGCACGTGCAATACCAAGAAGTTTTACTATTGGAGTCGGAGTCGCGATTTTGTTTAGCGACTCCGACTCTGTTAAAAATGTTGCAACTCCGCAACTCCGACTCCGACTCCACAGCCCTGCAATGAACTAAAGGAATTTCTTAAACGAGATCACTTAAATGTTATACATTTTAACATAAGAAGTTTAAAAAAGAATTTTGAAAATTTTAGGAATAATATTGAGGAAACTTTAAATATTTTTAACATTGTATGCGTAACTGAAACTTGGTATAGTTCAGATGAGGCCAAACCTAACTTAAAACTCCATCTTCCTGGTTTTAATATTGTACCTTTAGCACGCAAAGTTAAAAAACAAGTAGGTGGAGTACTTTTTTATGTAAGCGAAGGAATGCGGTTTATAAATAATAATTGCTGTTATCGCCCACCATCTGGTGAAATAAATAGTTTTAAGTCATATTTAATTACCGATGTCATTAAAAAAACCAGTGTTGATAAACGGCGTAAATCTTCTTGCCTCCACTTTCCTTCCGCAGCAGACGGCTGCTGCCTCCCGATCAATTTTTAGCGGGAAAATGTTCTTTCTTCCGCCTCCAGTGGCTTCCCCTTTTCTCTTGGCGGCCGCAGCCGGAGTTCTTTTTTGGAGGCAAAATGTTTTGGAGGCCGACACGCCAATAGAGTGGCGGAAGCCAATGGTGGCCGCCTCCAGAATAAATTTTGGAGGCAAAGCCATTTGGAGGCCGCCTCCAATGACTTCTGCCTCCTAACTGGCTGCGGCCGTCAAATCGGAGGCGGAAATATTTGCCTCCCGGTGGCGGATGTTATGAAAAATAATTGCTCCTTTGCTTTAAAGCAATTAGATATTAACTAAAAACAAATGTTAAATACTTGACATTAAAGTTTTATTTTATATTATTTATTGACTGTTTACAAAATTTTTTGAAAAAAAATTATAACTTTGTCAGAGCGGTTGTTTATCTACTATTATCGAATAAATTAGTAATTTTTATTTCAAAACAAATATTAAAAATTTTGCATACATCCCTTAAGCAAAAAAAAAAATTTATGACAAATAATTAAAGTTTTTGATCGTTTGATATTTTGACACCATTACGTCACGCTAAAACTTTAATTTTTCGACCATAACATTAAATTATTAATTCTAGTCATTATATATTGTAAAAATATTTGAAAAACACATATTTTAACATTATTAAAAATTAATAAAGTTAATTTATTTATTACAACAAGTATTTAACATTTGTTTCTAGTTAATATTTAATTGCTTTAAAGCAAACGAGCAATTATTTTTCATTACATCCGCCGGCGTAAGACAAGTATTTCCGCCGCCAATTTGACGGTCGCAGCCAGTTAGGAGGCAGACGCCATTGGAGGTGGCCTCCAAATGGCTTTGCCTCCAAAATTTATTCTGGAGGCCTCCAAAACATTTTGCCTCAAA